GTTCTCCTGTCTGTCCATCCGCTTGGACTGGACACTGCATGGACCTGGGTCTTAACAGGGTGCTCTGCTTTAACTCCTGCTTTCAGCAAGATAGGACACGGTCACACACACACATCCGGAGTCATCCTTAGAAAGTGTATGGTGTGCTTTCATCAAGTCTTAAAATTAACAGCCAGAATCTAAACACAATTCCGTAACAGTCATGCTCTGTATCATCTGAAAAGAGAGACACTGACAAGATGTTAATCGGCAACCTTCTGCTACCTGACAAAACAGAAGCGAAAACAAAGCCCTCGAGCTCTGCCCTTGGCTCGTGGTGCTGTACCTCGAGGGGGAGGGGAAGCCCCGACGGAGGCTGGTTCAGCCGAAATGGTTCTTCCCACCCCTGTGCGGCGAACCCTCAAAGAGCACTTAACCTGACTTCTGCTACGGAAAGGTCTTCAAATGCAGTCCCACTGTTTAATAAACCCTTGGCTTAAGACCTTGCTTTCAGATCAGCACAGAATTGGTCCATCCCTGTGATGCCAAGACAGGGAGGTGAAGTAAGAGCAAAGTGCCACGTAGATGGATGAAGACCAGGAGCAGAACTCTGCCCGCAGCAGATCGCAGGACAACGGCAGTGTCACAAAGGACAAATGTGGTGTTCTCAAGAGTGAGTAAGGGAGAGGAGCTGGGTCTCAGCACCACAGCCTCCTGTCCTCCCTCTCTGGCCCCAGTCACCCAAGGATCCAACAGTTTGCAGAAAGACAACCCGTAAAGGAGTCCTACGGAGTTGGGGACACCGCGAGTGGCAGCCCCCAGCGTGGAATCACCCATCGATGCTCCACAAGCAGCGAGCCTGAGTCTATAAGCAAAATCCATGACAGCGAAATGTTTTCCAAAAAACAGGAAGGTTTGCTTACCCATGATCTTCTTTAAAGACATAGGGAGACTGAAATAAATTTTTTTTAATTTTATCCTAATAATGCACTTTTTTCATATGTTCCCACATTAAGAGCAGAGACAGTTACGCAATGACCATCATGATAGTAGCAACAAAAACACTCTCTAACAGAATGACACGTCACCAGCTTAGGGAGGGGAGATGTCTGCCTTTCTGCGGTATCGCTGAGCCCCACCGTGGCTGGTCGAAGTCACCATGAGATAATCATTCAGCAGAAGAGATTCAAGTGAGAACGGAAAACTAACCGTTTTGAGGGAAGCTGACTATTTCAGGACCTTCAGGACAACCCAGAGACAGAGCTGGGGCGTGGACCACTTCTCAATCACTGACTTTGCATTTTTTCAGGGACATCCAATGGAAAATGTCCCCCATCCACTGAGACAGAGGGGCCTCCCATGAATCCTTGCAAAATTATATTTCGGCAAACCAGCCGGGAAAGCCCCCTCTTTGTCTTTCGTTCTGAGCACCTCAGAGACGTGAAAGGATCCGCTGCATCTGGCAGCCAGCCTGGCAGAGGGCTCGGCAAGGAGAGGACACTCAGGCTACCAGGCAGAAGGGGTCCCACCGCCAAGGCTCCCTCCCCACTGAGAAGTACCCCCCATAAAGCGACCTATTTCTATCCATTTGTTCTAATCTTTCTTCAGATCAGGCCGGCGGCCCATTAATCATTTCTGTCAGTCCCTTACACAGTCCAGGGCAACAGAGCTCTTGTTTTTCTAAAAATCACGGTGCCAGACACGAAGCTCAAGAAAGAGGAAAGGGCTGGCCCGGGGTGCCGACTACAAGAAACCACCACTCCCGCTGACCTGCCTCTTTTGCCCAGAACACACAGAACGTTCCCTGGCAAGCTTCTAAAGAGAATTACACTGGGAAACGGAGGCAGGGAGGCTGAAGAGGAACCCGACCCACGCAGCCCCCCACCGAGGAGAAATGTAAGGAAGGGAAGCAGAGGAATAAACGCCAAGTCCAAGACAGACCCAGATTTAATAAAATCCTAATGAATGTTGTGATCAAGGCTGATTGTTTCAGCAACTTCAAACCAAAGAAAAGGTCTATGAAAGGCCACGGCTGCAGCCACCATAGGACTTCGCCTCCTGAAGCCGTGAAAAATGAACACTGAGGGGCCCAAACAGAATGTTGTCCAACGGCAAAGAGAAAACCTCTTAGGGAACTGGTATGCCTAGTTAGGGTGGGAGTGACCCAGAACCCACCGATATCCGGGCTGATTTTTTTTTGATGAGGATAAGCTTCGTGGGCAGAAGAACTGTGACCACGACTGGACCACTCACACACGGATCCGACTGCGATCTCTGCGCGGGACAGAAAGGAATGGCGTGATACCAAACGCACCAGATTAGCAGTGGAGCGACTTGGTGTCTCCCCGCACGTCTGACACTACCAATCTGATCCGTGACAAGTCCCTTTACAGAACGGATGAGGGAGAAGGCCCGGGGATGCAAAGTGAGGACACTGCGCTTCCAGGTCCTCAGAAGATTCCTGGACACTCAGTGGCTGACTGAGGCAGTTTTCAAGTCTCCTGCAGCTCTGAGCTTCCGCGATGTTATTCTGCACATCAGCAAGGACCAGTGTCATCAGAGAGACTTGAGAGTGCACTTCACAGACATCAGAGGTCTCCCTCGTGGTGCTAAGTCACTTGCAATGTGCACTCCAGAGGCTTGACATGAATACATGTTTTTTTTTCAATATCCAAGTTTGTCACTGATTTATTTAAAACATAGAGCATTTTAGTCTTAATTTAGTCATGTGACTTTTCAACTGTCATTTTTCAAAAAAAAAAAAAAAAACACTAGCATTCATGGGCACAGGAAAAGACAAACACATTGTGGGGACTCTACAAATGGTTATAATAACCAGCACAGAAACATTTAAAAACACATGGGACAGGGGCTCCCTTAAACCCCCTAGTAGATAATGTATGAGTAAGACTCAGGTAATTTAAGGAATTTCCAAGGGTAAATCTGACAAACATGGTTTTAGAAAGACACCTGCTGAGGCATCCTCTAACCACCTACACTGTCATACATTTTAGAAAGATGAATGGATACCTTTTTTTTTTTTTAAGTTTCCTTACAGGTGTAAACTTCAGCTACATTGAGTGCACATCTTTCTACTTCATGGAAGTAAAATAAAACCCATCTCAACTGCATTTGGATCTGGGACTCAGAGTCAATGATCTGAACATAAAAATGAAGCTCACCACGAATGCTACTGCACTTCTCAACGTGGACTCCCACTGGAAGCAGCTTTTAAGGAACTGGACCGTGTTCCAAATCGCCATGGTGATCCTTTTCACCCGGTCTACATCCCTTGATAAGATCTGATGAAAAAAGGTGAAAAACAGGGAACTAGGTTTAAGTACTCCGAATATTCTCTGTAGATCAGGCAGCGCGGTCATCTGAATTACATTATATGTATATATACATATATAGCTGCTAATTAAAAAAATAATGGAAAGGAACAGCCCTAATACTTTTTCAAAGTTCTTTTTACAATATGATCATATACGTTTCTATAGGAAGTACAGCTCTGGGAAGGAATCCAGTCCCCCCACCTCCTCACTGTGACCTTGGGCCGGTTTCTTACTCTCTCTTATGCTATGGGGTGGACGTGGCTATGCACCTTGTAGACTGTGGAGAGAATCAAAGGGCTCAGAACAGTGCCTGCCATGTGCTAAGTGACTTTTTAAGTATTTGCATATTAAGCAAAGGTTTTCAACTTTATGATAATTGGGGGACACTCAGTGGTAAGAGACATTTGGGGAGAATCCTAACATATCCCAGGGCCTCGGTCCCAAATCCCCTGGTGTGATCAGAGCCCAAACCCCACCCCTCCAGCCTAACACACACACACACACACACACACACACACACACACACAGAGGGAGGTCCTGTTTGGCAAAGGAAATGCCTTTTCTGCCAGCTGGAGGTAGATCCGTTTCAGTTTGTTTGCAAAGCGGTTCCTCCACCTACCTCAACTCAGGTTTTAACTTTCAAACCAACAGGGCCAAGGGCAATAATGATAATAATTATAAGAAGGACGTGTGCTCAGATTCCACAAAATAAACAATGCACTCAGTGTCAGGGCAGACCAAAGCCAAACACTTGGGCGGTGTTGAAGGCCTTTCCCAAGTGTGTCCAGAAGCTCATGGGACACAAAAGGATGGTAAGATGCCCTTCTATTTGACTTGCTTTCTGTAACCCACAGCTGCTCGCCCCACAGGAAGTAGGGGAAGCAATAAACACTTTTAGCAGGGGACACTTTGTTCTCTGTGACACAGCCAGGGAGGGACCAACTGTCCAGAGTGAAATCCTGAACCGTGTCTGACGAGGACAGGGAGGGGCCCTGAAAAGAACTGCAAAGGTCGGAGTTAAAAAAAAAACTGTAAAATTTCCTCTCGCGGGGTGGGTCACCCCGGTCTTTACTTGCAGTTGAACTGCTGAGGGAGGAACGGAGGGCCACAGGCAGAGGCAGTGAGAGTTCATGCATCGGGACGTAAACGGCCGGCATAATCCAGATGCAGGCAACACGGAAGAGGTGGGAACGGCCGTGGGTGCGACCGAGGCGGGAAGTCTCTAAAGAGCCACTGGGCTGATTGCATGGAGCGCATGGGCAGGATACCTCCCTGCAGCTTCCATGACCGGAGACTGAAATACCCATGATTGAAGGACGGGAGGAGGCGCAAGAGCATTCGGGAGACATTTAGAGAGGCTTGAAGCCAGGCATTTCTGTTTCCAGAACGGTTAGGGTATGAACGGAGGGCTGACACCTTCTGCTTCACCCCACAGATTTAAGTCTTTCCCTTCTTCCTGAGCCTATGGGAGTCCTTGTTCAGGGATGGGTGGGGAGAGAAAGGGAGAGAAAGGAGGGGACAAGGGAGGGAGGGAGATGGAGAAGGAGGGAGAGACGCAAAGAAGGCAGGACAAGTGACTCGGGTGCTGGATGCTGAGGGAACCAACAAGGCCGTTTTCTGCACCCACCCACCTTTTTGGACAGCTTTCGGCTGTCTTCAACCAAGCGCTTTTCTCTGGGAGTAAAGGTCCTAAGGCTCGCTTTGACCTAGAAAGACATTAGTGTTATAAAGGGCGGCATTGCAATGGACTTCATCCTCCTCTTTTTCTAATGACCGAGAAGGCCTGGAAACCAAGAGCTCCTGACCAGCAAGGGCTCCGGCGGGGAGCAGGGACGAGGGGGATCCCCGGGGCTCTACATGGGGTTCCCAGGGGCTCATTTCATGGGCATCACTCCAGGGGGTCAGAAGGAATGCAGGAGACTCCAGAGGGTCGTTTCCACTTTGCAGATCAACAGATGGATTCTAAACCACTGCAGAGATTGGGCTCCTGAAGTTCTCAAACCAGAGCCTCTAAATTCCCTTCATTCCCATCAAGGTCTTGAAACTACGCTTTCGCCAGTAACACCCTGCATGTGAAATTCTGGCTATAAAAACCTCTTTCCCACTGAGAATCCCATTTCCTATCAATGATCCAGAAAAATAAGTAAATGTGTCCTTTTGGCCTGATTTTAGCCCGCTAATAGGGAATAAACTGAGGGTGAGAGAGATTTGCTAGTTGGTCTAAATCATTATACTGAGGAAACCTCAAAAAGTGAATTTCAAGTCCTTCTCTACGTCAGATGGACAAAGAGAACATTAGTTAACTAACATTTTAATTTAAGGCTTTCCTCCCTAAAACTCCAGTTTGCAGCGGTGTGTATACCGCACATACAAGTGTTCACCCTTCATCACCTGTTTTATTCTGGTGAGCACAGGTGTCCCAAATCTGTTCATTCCCCTTGTCGTAATCCTACATTTTAATTAATTATTCTAGAAATCACTGAAATACAAGCGTAGATCAAAAGACCTGAAATGGATGTTGCTCTGGAAAGCCTGGATGAAGGTCAGTCACTAAAAAGATACCGCTGTTCACAAAGTGATTTTATGGAAAAATAAATGTGGAGGAATTCCACACTCGGATTGTTCTGTGTTCTTAAAGTTGGCAAGTAAACATATATTTAAAAACTCCTCCTTTAATTGTAGTTTTTAATTGAAAAGCTACTTGTCTGGACAATGCTGGATAGCAGGACACCTACTATAATAATTAAATAACATGTCAGAGGCTGGAAAATATTTCTGTCCAACAGCCAATGGTTGCCTTGGAAAAAGATTAAAGGTAATAAAGCTGAAAAAACGTCCCCCCTTACTTTTTGTTGTTGTTGTTGTTTTCCCTTAACATTTTATTGAGAATTACACACCATCCATTCTACTGGTTCAACAGGATTAATACAGACTGTCCAGTCTGGTCTTTGGTGAGGTGTTAAAACTGTTTTCTCTCTAGCTGCAAAAATCCTGAAGCATTTTGCACTGACTTGAGTCTCTCCAGGCTGGTCACCTTTTACTTTACATACAGAGAAACTGGGAGGTACCTTCAGTTCGACTTACCGGATTATATATGACGTCCATTTCCAGGTAAATAACTCCTTTAAAAGCTTGTTCTAAATCTTTATTCTTCAATACGTAACAGTTTGTTTGGCCATCTCGAATCTGCCACAGACAAGAGGTAAAATAGAAACTTTCCATGGGGTTAAAACTGAACGAACGGACAAAGCTGAGAATGCAGAATCCACACACAGATGAAGCCACTATCAAGCAAATATTAAACTATATATATATTAAATCATAAATCAACTTTTAAGGCTAGACTGCTGGTATAACTGATAAGAAGATAAAGCAATAATTACCAGGCTGAAACTGGTATGTGGATGGAAAAATCAGTGGGGCAAATGATTACCAAGACTGCATGGGCTTTCTTTCAAAAATCCCAGAGGTTATGCATCTTTATTTATTAAAAAAAAAGATGAACGATCTACAAAATTTTTGGCTAGTACCACTCAAGATGGCCACGGTCATGGGAAAAAGGAAAAACTTGGAAACTATCACAAGCCAGAAGACTAGGGAGATAAGAGGACTAAATGCACTGTGTTACCTTGGGTTGGATCCTGGAACAGAAACAGCATTAGTGGAAAAACGATGAAATTCAAATAAAGACCTTAGTTTAGGTACTAGGAATGTACAATGCCAGTTTGTTTAGTTTCAACAAATGTGCCACGGAAATGTAAGATGCTTAATATTAGGGGAAATTAGGTGAGGGCATATGGGAATTCAGTATCATCTTTGTAACTTTTCTGTCAATCAAGAATTATTTCAAAATGCAAAGATTACTGAAATATTTTTAAGAAATGGGGCGGGGAGGGTATAGCTCAACTGGTGGAGCACATGCTTAGCATACACAAGGTCCTGGGTTCAATCCCCAGTACCTCCTTCAAAAATAAATAAGTAACCCTAATCAGCTCTACCCACCTCAAAAGAAAATTTAAAAAATTTTTTTTAAAAAAGAAAGAAATGAAAGGCACCAGTTTAAAAAAAATGACCAGTATTTCACAGCCATGGAGCAGTGCAAAGTAAATACATTAGCACAACTAAAGTTGAGGTCAAAATCCAAAAACATTCATAACGAACAAGTTTCTCTGATAGCCTCTCTCAGCCAGCACACCACATCAGTTCTGTATCCCAATCTAGCTGTGGACCCCAGCATGCAAGGCACTGAAGAGAAACTTCCCCTGTATCATTTCGAAAATGACCTGGCACTCATGAAGGCATTTTCTTTCTAGATTTGTCAGCAGCCATGTTTATCTCACACACAGTAGTAGATATATGTGTGTTTTGAAACCTCTGGCTTGTCAGAAGCCTGTCTGTTAACTCCAAAAGGGCACAGCAAAACGTGAGCTGACCAAAATCTCTGTTTGGGTTTGTAACGATCAGGGGTTTGAAACAGCAGGGGAAATTTGAGCCATCTTTTAAACGACTGCTGCTGTCACTAACAAGCACTCAGCACAAGTGTTCTTCTAAACAGTGCTGGAAATGAGCTGAGTAAGTCACGGGGGGAAACAGAGCCGTTCCACTTTACAAGGGAGAGGTCACCTTCCTTCCCGAAGTCACCCCACCTCTCAGATTGAATAGGTTTTCAACAGAAAGATGGGTTTCCTGGCCGGTGGCTAAGAGGAAGGGGTGCCCCATAAAGACCCGGCTTCCTTCCTAAACGGTGTCCAAACAGGATTCTGAGCTTCCTCTTTTGTCCACTGTCTCACTTAATAAATTGCGGGTGTTAAAGTTGAAAGAAATAAATACAAAAACAGCATTATGACAATTTGCCAAGCTGACTTTGGTCCAATTGAGCTCTGTCTCAACCCACGGTCATTGTACTGTTATCTTAAAATTTCCATGATTTCTTAAGGGTGAGGGAAGGTCAACAGAAGAACAAGAGGTATCAGGACACAAAGAAATATTTTATAGTAAAAGAAGTTGGGCTTTTTTTGGGTAAACGATCATTTCCTCTTTCTCAATGTCCTAGAATTGTGTCAGCAAAACACTGAATCCACCTAGGACATTAAAGCAGGTATTAAAGCTAGAGAAATGACTGAGGATATTCATGTCTGGATTTTTATATATGTATATTATTTTAAAATATATAAATCACAAGTTTAAAAACTTGTAAAAAGACTGAGAAATTCCAGGAAAAAAAAAAGAATCCCTTTGAACATCCATTAATATCACCACTTCCTCTGGAAGGAAATTCGAGAGGAAATTTGGCATGTATCCTTTCAAAATTTTTATTGAGAATTTTTATTCATAAATTTGTTCTTGAAAAAAGTATTTTCAGTTTTTTGTGCGTCAGACTATGTATTTTGCAACTTCTTTATCAAATCATATTGATGGATACAGAATGAAGTTGCAAAACACATACAGTTTGACACTGTAATTTCTCAATCTTTTGACAAGTTTTTAAACTTACGATGTATATATTTTAAAATAACATTATATTAAGACACTAAAAGAAATGAGGCTCATTTCTTTAAACTGCTAGGTAACGTTTAAAATATGAATAAACCACAACTTATTAACCCTCCTATGTATGAACATTTGGTTGATTCCACTTTTTCCATCTGTCTGCTACAAGGAAGTATCTTTTGGAAAAAGATTAACAGTGACACATAAAGAAAATACACTACCTTGTATTTGGGATATACTTGGGTTAGGAACAGATCAACTCATTTGAATATTTAGTGTTATAATTAAATACTGAAAGAGTAACCAAAGAAACTATTTTTAAAATAGTCTCATTTTCCATGGTCTTCATAGAACGGAACTTCCAGCACAAGAATATATGATAAAAAGCTCTGTTAACACCCCAACTTGCCAAACTCCTACATGACAGCATTTATATAATAGGAAATGAAAGCTAAACATATATTTTTCCTGTCAAGAACTGTATTTATCATTTGTACTTAAAACTCAGAAAATTTTTTCTAACAGTCTATAATTTTAAAACCTCTATTAAATAGGGCAATGAAGGCACTGCCAAAGGAAAACTCAGAGCAGAGAATCTATATATACTTCTGTCTTTAGGTATGAGACAGTAACTTCAATTAAGACCAGAGTTTAATTCTGAGATCTGTATCACCCAAGGCAAAAAGTAATGATACAGTTTGTAATTTATGACAAAAGGAGATCTCTAAGTAAAAAGAATACATATCTCAGCGGTCATCACGAAATAATCAGCAAAAAGCAGTAACAGTGACAAGTACATAGAAATTCCTTATTAAATGACATTGACTACATATAAATTACATAAACAACAAGTTTCTTCTGTACAGCACAGGGAACTATATTCAGTACCTTGTAGTAACCTATAACGAAAAAGAGTATGAAAAGGAATCTATGTGTGTACATGGATGACTGAAACATGATGCTGTACACCAGAATTGACACAACTGTGTAAAATGACTACACTTCAATAAAAAATATATCTAATTTTAAAGTCTGACTTTTAATTTATATACTTTTTAACCACTCGTCTTTTAAACTTAAAAAATAAAACAAGTATGGGAAATATTCCCCAAAAAGTTGATCCTTTTACATAATTTAGAATGGTTCATCATATGGCTATCCTATAATTACTTCAACAATCCTCCATTCTAACTCACTAAGATTGTTCCCAATGTGTAACAACTGTAAACACTGTGATGGTTCTAGACATAGATGTCTTTGAGCATCTATGATGCATTCCCAAAAATACATTCCTAGAGGTGGAGTGACTGAGTCATGGGGCATGCCTATTTTTTATGGTTTCGGCAAGTACTGCCAATTTGCCCTCCTAAGATGCTCTATTAAATTACACTTCCAGCCTCAGTGCAAGAGCCTGTCCATTTCCTTGCGACTTTGTCAACCGTAGGCATTTTTATTTAATAGACGGCAATTTCACAGGAATAAAATGGCCTCAGGTTGTTGTCACATGTGCTTTTTCATAACTAATGAAACTGAACATTTTCTTTCGTACGTTTATGAACAGTGGCCATGGTAGGACCGTGAAACCGGGCAGACTTCAATCCAATTCCCGTTCCTGGCACAGAGCATCTGTGAGACCAGGGATAATGACTGCATCTCTCCAAGCCCCGGGTGCCTCTCTAAAACAGGTACCCAGAAGAGAAATACTTGCCATCTTCCTGTTACCAGACAGTAGAGGAGTTCCACAGCCCTTCCCCTTGCTCCGTCGTAACCAAACGTCCACCTTCTATACCACATAAGGCTCATGATAATTCCTGCATATTTAAGGTAGCCTTTCCTAGTTTCCAGGGCTAGTAGAAAAATGTGCCTTTTCTGCCTTTATTTCATGTTGGACCAGGATGAGACGGGAAGGAGACTACAATGTTTGTACTCAAAAATCACCCTTTTTGCCCTGTAAAAAAATCTTTATTTCGTTATACCTCCATAAACATTCATGTAAACTATAAATACTATGCATTTTAATGGCCAAATATCAGTATGAACTTAACAAATATGATGGCATAAGAGGGCCTAGTACAATGGGCAAAACCCATCACAGGTGCAAGTTGGGCAAATATTTAATTCGGAAATGCAAATGCAGATCTGCATGGGCATTTATTTGGTGCAAGCAATTGTACAAAATTTGTCCCATAAAACTAATTAAGTGACGCTGTTATTGTGCCCTGGATCCACAGAGGATGCTAAGGGCTGCAGCAAGGCTCGTGCTTCGGGTTACAGATTCTCTTGCATGTGTAGCGTGGTTTACATGCTTTGACTCAAATTCGTTTCAAAATGTAGGATCGCGCCAAACTGAGGTGATTTCTCCCTAGGTAGTAGGAAGTAACAGCAAATAGATAATTTTCCTATTTTATAGAAAGCTGATTTTCAAGGTCTTTCAAAATTGACCCATTAGATAACTTGAGGATGGTAAATGTATCCTTAAAGAAGGAATACCCAAATGCGAAGAAGCCAGTCTGATTTTTTCAAGAGAAAATCAAGATCACTTAATTGAGAATCGAAATGGAAAATAAATCTATTGAAAATTGGATAATTATTAGGAGACAATGTCTATGACGGAAATAGTTTAAAATTCTAACATGTCTTTATTGTTTTCCAGCGTATATTTACTATTATTGATTAGAAGATTTTTTGGAGTAATGTGGAAAGTCTTCAGATTGTAATTCTTTCCGATCACAATTTTCTACTGCTTTTTACTCATGAGTAAAAAGTTTTGCCTATCTCTATAATCATTAAGAAAACTATTTTTTTTAAGTTGAACAGAAATAAAACATTTGGAAGGATGGCCCATTGTCCTGGATTCTTTCGATTCTGATGTGTATCTGAGCACATGAAGATGCTTTGAACAATTCACCGCCATTAATAAATACAGTGATTTTAGAACATGGATTTTAAGCGAGCCAACAGTCAGTATGCACATTCACCCTGATTCAAAGATACAGTGAATTCAGAACAGGCTCTCTATTTCACAGGCTGAAATGTACGAAGCACATTACTGTTTTGAGAGAGATTAAAAGCTGAAGTATATGCAATATTTTATACTTAGATGTTTTAAAATGTAGTTTTCATTTTCCTTGAAAGTGCAAATCAAGTTTTAGTTTATGACTTGATTTTTTTAAAGAATGTATTCTCACAAATGTTATTCGCTCTAATAAGTATCTTTTTTGTTTTTAAATATGAAATAAGGTATTATCAGATACTGCTCCATATCCTAGAGATAACAGGGAAACATCAACAGATCAATTTTTATGATTCTCGATATTAAAAAAGCAGGGAAATAAATCCTTCTCCTTAGAGGCACAGAACACAGAATCGAAGGGTTTTTCTTTTTGATGCTTATTTCTGGAGCTTCAACCAATTCCACCAGGAAGAGCCTTTTTCCACTACAATAAGCTTCACACTGGAGCCGAAACTTTCTTCCTAGTCACCTGCTCTGATCTATCTGTCATCCCCAGGCCAAAAGCCTTCACATGCTCCCCATTCAGAGAATAAACCCCAGCCAGCCTCCCTGCACCCTGCATGAGCTGCACCTTCCAGCCTCCCCGCTCACCCTGAGCACTGGGCACCAAGGTGCCTCCTTGCTTCCAGAACATGGCCTTTCCCTTCTCCCTCTGCTTCTCTGCTCACACTTCCTCCTCTGCTCAGAATGGCCTTCTCCCTGGCCAGCTCCTAAAGTCTTCCCAAATGTAAATTCAGCCCTCTCCATTTTCATGTTCCTTTTATACGGCACCTAATATTTCAGGTCTTGTGTGTTCATTTCACACGCATCTCCCGCAACATGTAAGTCTTCAACTCTATGTCCCAACTGCTCCCTCGTATCGCACTGGGCCCGGTGGTTGCACAAAACAGATCTTGGCTATTGCTTTGGGCACAGTATTTACTTAACAGCCACTCGCGATGACAGAAGAGCATCCTCTCAGGAGCTCAGGCACTGATGTGAGACCACCTAATTCAAAACCAGCCGCCACGCCTTACCAGCTGCAGGATCCTCTATGTGCCTCAGTTTCCTCATTTGTAAAAGGCCATAATAATATGAATGCATGCCTCACTGAGTTGTCAGAGAATTAATGATGTCACATATCATACGTGCACAGCACAGCGCTTGCTAGGTAAGCACTGCTCAATAGACATTAAATAAAGGAAAAAAAAACCCTGGATCTAAATAAATAAATTTTAAAACATGCCCTCTAAATCACAAGTTTGAATTCTCTGAAAATCAAATGGTCAATGAAATAACAAGCAAATTAAAAAGTGCCTGTTAGAGATACGGAGGGTCATGGCATTTCTTCTTCTATCACACTTATATCTACACGTTAGGTAGGGAATCGGTGCTTTTGGAGAAGGCAGCTTGCAGGTGTACCAGGAAGCGCCCACAGAGAGTCTCTGGAAGATCTGACCACTTTCCCAATTTATTGGTCAGAGACTCAGAAATAAATCTGAACTGAAACAGCCACCCTGGACCACAGCTGCTGAAATGTCTTCTTCAGGTCAACATTCCTGGGTCCCCAAAGTCCCCAAGGGGATACGGGGCTGAGGCCATCCTGCCTTTACACAGCGGAGAACTTTCAGGTCTGAGCTTTTCCCTCTGTGCACCTTTCATATTGGAAACAGCGTAAACCAAACCATACCCCGCGCCCCACCCAGGCTCGAAATCTCCCTGTGGTTTCCCATCACCATGAAGGAAGAGCCGAAGTCCATCAAACATGCAGGCTCTCAGGGTCGTCCACGGTCCTCTCCCAGGCCACCCCTCCCATCCACTCTGACCCCACACCTGCTGTTCTCCACTGGGCTCACTCCACTCCATCCACACTGTTCGCTCTTATTTTTGGAATCTGACAGTCAAGGCTCGGGCTCAGAGCCTTTGAACTTGACTATTTCCTGCCTGGATACACTCCCTCGGCTTTCTCCCCTCCCTCACCTCCTTAAGCTCTCACTCAAATGCCTCCCTTTCCAGCGAGGCCCTCCTTGCCCTGGGCCTGGAAAACTGCATCCCTTCCCCACACACATCCTCCCCTCCACGCTTTATCTTGTACACAGCACCTTTTACCATCAAACACACTGTCCAGTGCTTTTATTTTTCTGGTTTGTATATTGCCTCCTGCGACCAAAATGTAAGTTCCAAGAGAGGAGATGGCTTCGCTGGAGTCATCATTAAAACAGTACCACCTAAAACAGTTTCCAGGCACACACTGAACGTTTGATAAATATTCATCAAACGAATCCATAGATCGGGGGGGGCAACTTGTCAGCCAGCTGGACAAAGTGAAAAGGGTTAGGGGACTTGCCTGCATTTAAACAAAGTCTTTCAAAAATCACTCTACCTTGTATTTTGAAGGATACAGTTTGAAAACTGTATTAATTTAGGCTGGTGGTTCTCCACTCCACTGGGAGTGACTGTGCCCCCTCTTCAGACCATTTGGCAATGTCTGCAGACACCTTTGGTTACCACAATAGTGATGGGTGGACGGGTGCTGCTGGCATCTAGTGGGTAGAGGTCAAGGGTGCTGCTTAAATTCCTGCAGTGCACAGGACAGCCCCCCCACCACAAAGAATGATCCATCCACCAACGTCAGAAGGCTAAGCTTGAGAAACCCTATGGCTGATTAAGCCAGAGGTTATTTCTCAGATCTCACTCCACAGCGTGCAGTGATTGTATGTTACAAGGGAGGGAGGAAGAGAAGGAAGAAAGAAAGTTGGCCAACTTGTTGGTATGGCCGGAAAGACGAAATAACCAAAACATTTATGTGCAAAACAGAGGGAGGTTACTGAAGACGTGAAGTCATGTTCACAGATCAAAGAATCAAGTATGCTACTAAGGATTTATCTATAAAAACAAGAGAAAAAAAATGGTCCAAAAAGTTGTTAAGAGAAAAAAGATCCTAAATTATAAAGCAGAGTCTTTCCTTCTTGCCCCTTCAGACCTTTTTAAAAATGTGTCCCATGTTCTGTTCCATGTATTCTTTCAGGAGTAACTGACAAAGTGGTAATAAAAAATTTTTTTGATTTTTTTAAAAGGAGGGAAATCCCAGATCCCCATCTCCTCTCGGAGAACCGGTATGGTCTGCTGCTGATGGCTCAGAACGTTTGGCAGCAGCCGGCTCTGCGAGGGAGCAGCTGCCCCACCACGCTCTTCAAGTCACACCAGGGATATGGGAACTCAGGGAGAAATTAACCAGGCAATCAAAACCAGAAGAGATACTGAGAGGTGCAGCGTCTCTCGCTTTGCAAACATCATGTGAACGAGTCTAATCTCACGGATAAATTACAGATTGCTCCTGCCACGGAAATGCACTAAGAGCTCTGGAAAAATAAGTCTTTGGGAAGAAATGAATAAAGCCATCTTGACTGGCAGGGCCATAGCAACTCTACCACACACTGTATGAACGGATGGTTGGATGAAAAACTGAAATTCTCTCCTCTAGAAGAGTAGAGTTGGTATAAACATGAATGCCCAATGAGTAGGTGAATCCAGACCCCAGCTTCCCACCTTTGCTCATGTACAGACATTCTTTGGTGCTTTCTTGTCTGAATTTTACAGGGTACTTTTTTTCATTCAGCAGTTAGCTCACTCTGACACATTATTTTTTCATGGGACCGCCAAAACATCCTCTTTTTTTCCAACAGAGGCTCTCTGCTTTCTTCCACAAAGCATTTTTTGAGCCTGAAAACAAACATGACCACTAAAAAGACAAACAGAACTTTTGAGAAAATGGCTTTTAGCAGAATTGAGGGCAACTGTGCAGCTACCAGCAAGTAATCTTTGACGAATTGGGCAGGTAGGAGGTAATAAAGAAACACATGGATGTTTTCCATTAACCAATGGAAAATCAGTCAAAGATATGTATACCTTGAAACCAATGAGGAACTCTTAAGATGGAAAGATTGAATGTGGATTGAAAGATTGGTTTTTGCTGGTTAAATCAATATGCAACTATATACAGAGAAAATTATGTGACTTCCTATCTGAAACTACTGAAAGTTATTGGATCAGGATAAGGAATAAAACAGTCCTTTCCTGCCATAGCCGGAAGATTATTTTCCCCAAAAACAAAGCAACTCCAGACCATAGGAACTTGTCAACTGTAAAATGACTCACACGTTGCATATTCACAAAGGCAACTTACGGACAGCAAGGGAATGGCAACTTTTCCAAGAAAATCAGGGGGTTTATCTCCATCTTCATCAAACACTGTCACTTCCAAAACATCATGGATATCTTTAATGGGACTGAAACCAGAAAACACACCATGTATTAGAGACAAAAACACACAAGTGAAGTCTGTTCCATGCAGATCTGAAAACACCGTTTCACTAATTAAGTCTGTATGTCCTCAGAGTATAAAACTACCATTTAATTAAATTCCAAAAATTAAATCAAACTGACTGTATTCCCAAGCCTTCCGTCATAGAAGATTCAGACGTCCATATGGAAAAAAAAAAGTCAACTTTTTTTTACTATGCCATTTTCCACATTATCTGTGTACTCAAGGGTGGGATGGTTAAAGAAACAGGATAAAGAAAAGGGGTGGGAGACAGAATGACAGTGATTTCCAAGTAGTTTCCAAGTGAGAAGAGCAAAAATAAAATTTTCTTTACATTAAACTAGTGAAAGATTCCCTTTAAAAAAAAAAGGTGGTCAAAATCACTATTTGCTGAGATCCACAGAAAGCATCCTATTGTTGAAAAACAAAATATTGAAAGTCCCATGCATGTTTACCTATTTATAAACATTTTTTTACATTGACCAGAAGCCAGACATTAGCTCCAATGAAGCATGGAGCCATGGTCTTTGGTGATGAGTTGAACAAATAAGAGATTCTTGCAGATTGCAGTCTGCACACCTGCTTACTTAGCACAGTTCAGCCTCCTCACATAGATCTTTGGGAACTTTCTGCTTAGGAAACCATCACCTCCTTTTGAAACAAACCTTTATCCTTTCAGTTAGAAGTACAGGCAGAGCATTTCTTCAGTGTTGGGAGGGCAGTGTACCACCATTTCCCCCAAGTTCAACAGGGGCCTCCCTTCGATGGGCAGGTACCTTGGAATCTAAAGCAAACTAGGAAATACATCCAGCTTCCTAAGTGGGCTTCACTCTGCAGCAGGTCATTCAGATGAGCTGGGATACAGGGAGCCTCTGAGAGCCTCGGCGGCATCGGAGGTAACCTGTATGTTCCAAAAGGCTCTGGCAGAATGCAAGCCCTCAGACATTAAATAATGTTGCAACATACAAGCTCCTTGAATTTAAGGCAGGTCTACACTTGTAATTTCCTTCAATCCTGGAATGAATTAGTCTGGATATATGGCAGCTTCCTTCTACACACACATTAATTTAGTCACTAAAAGACCTACTTTACACATGCCTCCTGTAATACTCCCGTGCAGTTTCAAATGGTCTCCTCTATTATTCACACTACACTCTACAAAATGAAAGCATAAAAGGTTTTCAGAAGGAAAAAAAAAACAATAAAATTCATTCTTTGCACATAAAAATGGACAGAAAGTTCCACTCAAGAACCCCAGACTGCCCCCAGCACATCAGGGAGGGTTGGTCTCTGAAGTTAAAGCCGCTCTTTGATATTCCAGAGGCAGAGACACTTACAATGTAAAAACTTTGTTCCACTCAGGGTTGAGGTTTTTGTAAATGGTATGTGTCTGAAGTCGGTCGTTCCCTAACTCCAACAAGCAAAAGGGATCACTCTTCCCTGGAAAGAGAACACAGACGTGGGTCAGAGACAAATAAATGAATCTCAAAAGTGACGGAGGCAAAGTGAAACAGAAGTCATGCACTTATGCAACCATAAAATTGTGCTTGCTGAGAGAGCGAAGGTGAGCCTCCCCTTTAAGCTAGCCCTGGGGGAGCAGGGGAAGAATTCAGGAGCTGGACAGAGCCCTCAGGTGTCAGCACACTTAATGGACTGGGACTGACAGTCAACCCAGATGCAGCCACACCACTGTTTCACCGGAGCAGGTGTCAATCCAGCACATGAGAAGGTCCACGTTTGTGTTTTGTTTTAAAACAGAAGCTCATCTCTGTTTCCTTCCTAAGTTCTTCTTGAGTCGATGCAGATAATTACTTTTCTACAACTTGAAGCTTACAACTTACAGACTTCAGCATGGTTAAGAGAGGAGTGAGCCAAAAGTGTAACCACGGCTAATTAGGAGTTAAATCTCTGCCCTGGAGTCAGCAGCCACACACGCATATGATCTTACATACTTAGAATATTCCGAGAATACACATGTGACATTCTCTTTTTTTTTTACATTTTTTATTGATTCATAATCATTTTACAGT